TTTTTTTCTCGCGGTTTTCTTTCGCGTCACGCACGACGGACTAAGCGAAAGAGGGACTACTCGTAGTTTAATGAGATCAAGTCACTAAGGGCTTTTATCCATGCACCCCTACAAATAGTAATGCTCTCTTGTTCTCAGCCCCCACACCCATTAGAAGCCTGTATAGAGAGCCCCTCAAGGAATTCAACATATCCCAAAGCAGTAGATATCTTTTGATTAGTGACCTTTTACCCAAGCTACACTGCATTTCCAACACGAAAAATTTGAATGTATTACCTACATTTGCGAATGTAAAGACCTTTCATTAAAATGGTCCCTTTCTAGCTCCAGTAAGGCAGGGCCGTATGGGGAATGCAAAAAGTGTTTCACTGACTAAAGATGGGGTGCCTTTTGCAATTTATACTCGTTTTCAAACAGAAGCACAGGGTCAAGCACAGGTAAAAGAGGACTGACCGCTGGCTATTTGAGTCGAGGCTCACACAGCCACCTGTCTACCGGAAGTTTACGGTGCTATGCGCCCTACTGCGGTTACCACCAAGGAAAATTTTGATTAATTATTGACAATCTTTTGACAACTTCCGATGGCTTTCGTTTCAAATGGCCCATCAAACTGCGACAACTTGCCGCCGGTTTAAGTGATTTTTACAATTTAAAATCTCCGCCCTCGACAGTTCCCATGTCTTGATTGGCCAGTTCAAATACAACTAAATACTATGTCAAAACGTAATAATTCTAACTCTTGAGCACCGCACCACTGTATCTAAAGATACATCTGAGTCTATAAACTTTATGCATAGAGAAGACTAACACGAATTCATTTAGATTGACTTTAAAACCGTCATGTTTTTGCCATTAAGGTAATTTTTAACTACCTTCGCAATGGTCAGCTCTTTCTCGCAGATGACAGAATTAAAGAAGAACAGCTTTTAGAGGCCAAGTTTTATCAAGTTCAAGGTATTATTGAGCAACTGGAAGAAAAAACGCCCAAGTCTCCCGGTTTTCTCGGCTCCCCGTTGATAATAAAGAAGAAACCCACCAGTCAGCTCATAAGTCATGGTTTTCTCCTAATGCGACATGTTCTCTGTTGTACCGCGTTTCAGCTAAAGGTTACACCCCTGAAGACTTTCATCGCTGTTGTCAGATAACAAAGGTCCTACTCTTGTGCTGATTAAAAGCGGAGAATACATCTTTGGTGGTTACACCTCAAAATTATGGGAATCAGGTATGCAATTGATTCATAACCTCTATTCTTTTAACTGTCATTAGAGCCTTGATTACAATTACATGGAGAATAAAACGTCATTATTATTATTATCATCATCATCATCATCATTATTATTATCATTATTATTAATACAACATGAACTATAATAGAACAATTAAAGGAGATAGAAAAGATAGTACAGAAGGTAATGATGTGTGTTACAAAAATACAAACAAAAAAGAATTACAAACTATTACAAAGTACAACATAAACTGTTGCTTCAGTATTAGATCATATACATATATTTTAAAAGTGGATGATCCAAGAAACCGACTAGCCATAGATAACCTAAGAGTGTGAGTTATAAACCGAATCATACAATTAATCCCTAATTCTATAAACTATCAATAATTGCTCTAAAGTAGAAACATGATCTTGACGGCTCTTTTATCTTTCTTTTCACCATATAGTCAAAAAAAAAAACAGAATAAAGTTATTCCGATGAGAAAATCATTTAAATTATATAATTAAACGATAAAAGCAAAACTGAAAACAGAACAAAAAAAAGAAGATGGGTAAAGTTGTACAATACGTATACTTTCATCGTTTTGTTTCATCCAGGTTTTAAGCTGGACAACAGTTCAAATGCTGCGAATTTGCGAAAATTTCTGATCATTCCCGTGGCATTATATAGTGTAGAGCCAGGGAATATCGGCTATTTTGTTGAGTCCTTTTCAAAGGAACAACAGGTATGTTTTCGTCTCAGGTAGTTTAGAAAAAGTCGCTTGGGCTGTTCAGGCATCGCACGAGTCAGTAACATCCCGGCGTGGAAGAACTGGGTACCATGTCTAAAAATAGCTTAAGAGGGATTACCTTGGGTATAAGGCCTATATGGGGAATTTCCTCTCTTACATTGATCTTCTCTTGAATTTACTTATTTTACTTTTACTTGTTTTCTTTACTCAGCTACTCCTTTGAAAACCATCCAAGATGGCCAAACCTTCCTGTTTACTCTGGTTAATCCTTCTGGGAGCCAACCAGTCAAGATAACTCCTAAACCAGGTGCAGGATGGGTTTTGCTAAAAGCAGGCCCGCGGCCCACGACCCGCGACGGCCTGGCGGCCCGGAGGCCCGGTGACCCAGTCCTGATTTTCCACCGTTTTGTTTGTCCAGCGGTAAATCCACGCGCATGCACAGATATGCATCGGGTTTGGGCGTGCAAAATGGACGATGGTGAGTTTAAATTCGTTTACCATTTTTATAATCATTTCAATCCTTTTCGATCCCTTGTTTCGTTGCATGCTGCCAAGTGAAAAACGTTGTCATTCTCTGTTTATTCGTCTGTTTACAGAACCCGATAGAGAGGAAGTCCATTCTCAAACGATGTAAAGAGACGAATGAACAGAGATTGAAAACGTTTTTATCTGAGCAACATGCAACAAACAGAACCAAGGATTCAAATGATTAAATGGTAAACGAATTCAAACTCATCGTCGTCCATTTTGCACGCACAAACCCCACGCAGATCTGTGCATGCGCGTGGATTTACCGCTGGACAAAAAAACTGTGGATAATCAGGACTGGGTCGCCGGGCCGTCGCGGGCCGTGGGCCGCGGGCCTGCTTTTAGCAAAACCCGTGCAGGATTGCGATGTCTGAGTGATTGCGGGCCAATATTTGGCAACGCACTCACAATACGTTACGACCTTGAATTGTTTTCCTCGGCAAATTTTGCTGGCGTTACTGGCTTCGTTTCGCGTCGACCTAGGCAACGGCTTTACATGCTCTAAAAAACTTAACAAGAAAACTCATTTCACGGGTGTCGACACATCTAAAGTCAGTGAAATGGAAGTAACAACGTTTTTATCAATAATGGGTTTTTAAAGACGTGTACAGTGTGCAATGTCACAATAGCATAGAGATAGCCATTGAATCCTCTTCAGAGAGGCTTTTATTCAAATATCTTTAAGAGAGGAGGGCTCTTTATATAAGAACAAATTTAAAAAATGAGGGCCGCAGCATTGGTGAGGGTCATCAACATATTGTCTCAACTCATTTGTCGTATAATTTTTACCAACCGAACGCTGGTTTCCTTCTCGAAGATATGTACGATTTACAGACATTAAGATCATCACAAAGGCAATTTAAGAGAGAAGTTAAATTCTAACCGCAAGTGGTATTCACATTCAGCCACCCTTCTCTAGTGCCAAGGCCCCGCCGGCTATGGGCTCGAAAAGCTGGCCGCTGGCTAGCTGGATCGAGGCTCGTTCATTTTCACTTTACACTGCAGTCCCGGAAGTACGAAGTAACGCGTCCAGACTGTTTTAAATCGCTGATTCACGGGTATGGCAGCTAAACAAGAAGAAGAGCTGAGTTTATTTGAGTTGGCCAGTGCCAAATTATCCGATGCACAGAAGCTTAT